CAATTTCAAAGCAAAAAGAGCATCTTCCTAGAATTCTATCAGACACATAAAATTCATTATAGTCATGTAGTATGTACTAATTCCAGATGACTATTTAGAAGTTCTTTTGGCTGCATAAAACTTCCTTATTTTCTTTTTCTCTTTCATTAGCCCAAATGAATTGTTCTGTCAGTCATCTAATTGTAAAGGATCTACAGCTTGACTCATCATCTGGTACTTTGGTACAGTCTAATTGCAACATCTGGAAGAAACTTAACATTACATTTTCACCAAAAGTGGTATAAATATCTACTATGGTTGCCACTGCTGCTGATGTTAGTTCTCCAATTGCTGTTTATGCTTCTCTTGTAGTTGGCACAGTTTTGCTTGTGAAGAAAAGCATTAGAACTTATCAGCTTTCTGTGATAAATGGCAGATACGAGTTTAAGGCTAGTCCTTAAACAAGCATTAATCTTTGATGTGTAAAACAGTTTGCTTGCCTACAATTATGTAACATTCTGACTTTCTATTATAGAACACATACACAAGTTATCATTGTTCACTCTAAATAACAGATTGTTTAAAAAATATATTTATGAACTTATATGCTGAAATAAATCATACAACATTTTATTTTCATCAAAAGAAAATGCTTTTTAAGAATATCCAAGTAAAAAGCCATACTACTAAAATCAATCAAAAAACATAAATCATATGAAGGACTTAAACAGAAAATGCAAACAATATCCAACAAAAGTGAATCATTTAGAAATATTTCCAAAATATCTGATGATACAAATAAACTAAGAAAGCAAGCCTAAAAATAATGTCAATTAACAATGAAATTCTTCAAAACCACACCGCAATCAACAATTGTAATTTGAGAGTAAATTATCAAAATGCATTCACAATTTATCTTGAATGCTTACTAAAATCTGCAAAGACGATTTCATTTGACCTTTTGATTTTTCACACATGAATATTGATACTGTTAAATATAAAGTTAAATCCTTTTACAATAAATTGTCATTACCAATAAAAATGGTAATTTGATGTTATTTTCTTAAACATAGTCATTATGCAATGACAATGTTATTATACACTAAATAATATAAGGAGAGAAGCAAGATGGTCCCTTTTATTAACACTCATATTTTTTTTAAACTAAATTTCAACTATGAAAGTGTCCACTGTTTTCAAAATTTATTATTTTAACAATCAAATTCTAATATCTAATGAGAAAAAAAAAAACTTATTTCAGACAAGTTCTTTAAGCTGTAATGAATTTCTTTTTGTTGAAAGAAAAAGAATTACTGATAAAATGCCAGGTCATGCTTTCTTTGTTATGTAAACCTCTAGTCTCCTTTAGTGTTGAGATAATGAAATTAAAGATCAGCAAGAAAACTGTCCAAATGTAATGATTACCCAAATTCTTCCTTTAGGTAGGCCAATTTTAACTACTTAAATTAAAGCTTTTTCTTATTCTACACAAATGGTTAAAAGCTGAGGAGAGATAATTTAAAACCTGCCTTTTAGTTCTCTTCATTGTACAATGTACACTATTGACACAAATATCCAGAGTTTAAGACATTTTGACATGTCGATCCTGTCCTAAATGAAAAGGAATTTAAATTATTAGATGACCTTGCTTAATAGTTGAAACCAGAGATATCACATTTACTGTCAAATTGCTGATACAGCATATTCATAAAGTTATTACAAAAAAAAAAAAAAAAATGAAATGTAATTATTGATAAAAAAAACTTTTGAAAGTTCTGAATAAAAAAAACGAGTTTCTTTAAAGTAAACTCATCCTTTTTAAATGGATGCATACTTTGAATAGGGATAAAAAAGTAACTATTTTCAAGAAAATTATTCTGCGATGCAGAGATAATAGAAAAACCATTGTACAATTCAAATTCGTGTGTTTGTGTGTGTGCTCGCGCGCGCGTAACAAGAATCAACAGTCATTAAATGTACAATGAAAAATACTATTTGGTTTTAATTTGTAAGAGTTGAAACTAATCTCTTGAAGTTTTATTACTTCTCAACTGACATACAGATAATTTATTGGTAACAGGAAATTATATTAGCAACTTCAAGAGTTACTAGTCATTATTTTAAAAGAGGGGGAATAAGACTAAAAAAGAGGTTAGTTTGGAGGCTTCTTGAAGTATCTCAGATTTTCAAGTTTTGTTGAAGAAATAATAAAAAATATTAATACTTGAATGGAGAACAGATAAACAAAAACCAATATTTTTTATTTTTCACTACTATTCCGATTTTAATGCTTGCATCTACCAACGCAACGTGAGATAAGTAGACACATTTTTAGCAAGGATACTAAGGATCATCTTTATTCTTGAAATTAAATAGCAATTGTTCAGATTTTTAATTTTAGCCTAAAAAGATATAGCTTCCTAATGTTTGAATTTATTTAAGTAGGTAAATATATAAAAAAAAAGAAAAATACAATTGGATATATTCTTTACTTTAAATGAAAATAAAGCTTTTTAACTTTCCAGTGTAACGAAAGTAAACACGAGAGCATATCAATTTATTTCAATAAGTCCGTCGCTTGATACGTACTTTATTTGATAAATATGAAAATTCTATTGCATCACATTCGAGCTGACTTGCATTGACATTGATAAGGAGATTATGTTGAAAAAGATTTCATGTAAAACAAAAGCTTTTTTTCCCCTATTATCATGGCTACACTACAGCTTTCTTTATTGATGCACCTAAAAAGTGTAAGAAACAACTAAAGTTAGATACTTGGACAATATTTTAAAATGTATGCAGACAATGTGCGTGGTAGCAATTCGAAAAAGTAAAGAATTTAATTTAATTCATAAACCTAGAGTAACTTAGGTGATGGATTAAAAGAAAAGAAAAAGCAACAAGTAAAAACAACATTCCTTTTTTTTTCAGCATCTTACTGTCAGCGACTTTCTTCCTCTCCGTAGCAGCTGACTCAGTGACTGCGTCAAGTCGTACGTTAAGGACAATTGGAAATTTGGTAAAATATTAATGAAATTAATGATAAAAGTAAAACCTAAAAATCAGGTAGACAGTCACGTGATAACGGCAATAATGATTTAAAGACGGTAGGAAATTATAATTTTCTTTAGTTTATTAAAAATATTGGCGTTGCCGCTAACTCGCCGACATTTCTAGTAACGGGGAAAAAGTACACAGAAGGTATGAAGTAGTAAGTAAAGTAGTAGTAGCAGCAATTTTTTCTTGAGGCTCTACCCGTGCCTACGTGATCACGTGACACTCGCCATATGCAGACGTAGTACTTAGTAAATTCAAGTATTAACTACTACTGCCACTATCATCATCATCACGATTTCCAACTACTGGAAACGTCGTTTGATGACTGCAGTATGCAATGATTCTTCTCTAAAATCCATCCTCTTTTCTCTCGCCCCGTTGAGTCATGCGCGCACATTGCACTGCAAATCAACACACACCCAGTTAAAAAAAAAAATCATTCTAAAATAAATGACAATGTTACAAAAACGATCGTGCGTGCATACAAACACGTGTGATGATAAAAGTTTAAGCAACAGTTACAAAAGAAACGAATGCATAGTAAAAAGAAAAATATGTATTCAAATCATTAGTTAGTCTGAAAGAGAATTGTCCATTAAGTTTTTTTTTAAGAAAAATATTTAGATTTTTAATGCAAAATTTACTTAAAGATAATTTCACATAGTTGATTGCAAAAATAAACAGTAAGCTGCATTTTCAAAGCTTGAACAACAAAAAATGACACTAATTTACGTAAGCATTTCACTTGTGAGTAATTAAGCACTGAAAATCTTGAAAATAGACATTGTGGAGATAACAAGCTAAGCATGAGTTGACTATGCTAGAGAGAGAGAGAGACTAATAAATACAACTACTCGAGAAGCGGTAACAATTGATTTGAATGAATTCAACATCTGGGATATTTTTTACAATCATGTTCGTAGGTCAAAAAATTTCACATTTTTTTTCAGTAGTTGCAATTATAAACTAATCAAATAAATAAAAAAAAGAGCAGAGAACTTTTTAAAACGTTGTTTACTCTTTGCTTTGAGAAGTTGTTTTATTACTTTCAAAGCGGGGTTTATAAGGATCTATTACTTATGTCAGAAGTTTTAATAAAAACAATACACAACTCCAGTTTTTGTTGCATTTTTATTATACGAAATTGTTTCTACAGTATTATGGAATTGAGAATTTTTTTTACAATTACTTCATTTCAATGAAAAACAATACTTCGATTAATTTACATATTATATTGACTTTAAAGTCAGCCAAATCATTTTTGAATAGATTTTATTTTTTAAAATTAGATTGAATACACGAAAGCGTGGTTAAAGGAAAACAGCAAACAAAATACTCCTGAAGTGAAATATACGATAAAATCGTTTGTCGCAAAAAAGGAAGAACTAAACATATGTCAACGTATCATGGGAAATAAATTAAAACACAGGAAATTGTGGTTTCTTCCTAATATAATTTGTTAGCAAGTTTTACTCTTATTTTTTTTTTTTATTAGTGTTCAATGTTCATGTACCACTAACAACATCACCATTTAAGTACAGCAGCAGCAGCAAGGTAGGAGTTAGGGTTAAAAAGACGTGTAATATTGGTAATCTAAATATTAAAAAAAATCTAAATAATTTATTTAAGAACATGCAAAATCATCGAGCATAACGTAAAATAATAACCAAAAATGTTAAGAAAGAGAGAGAAAAGGTGAGAGTAGCTATGTCATTACGATCTAAATGTAATAATAATAATAGTATTAACATTATTTTCCTAGACCGACCTTGCTATTCCACTCGAAACTAGAACAAAATTAGCAAAAAAAGTAAGCCAAGGAATCCCTAACTTACCTTCCTCTGTTAAAATTTCACTGAAATTGGTGTTGAATTCAACAGTTGAAAATATCTGTGTTATAAAAACTTATGTTCACTTATTTTGAACGATATTAAATGTTTGGCAAACAGTAAAGAAAATACCAGATTCATCACTCGGCCATATTGGGCCTAACCGGTGGATCGAATACCGCAGAAAAAACGTTATTCCGAGAATTCGACTTATAACTAAAAAGAAATAAACATCACACTTAAAGTGACCATTGATTATTTTAATTTCCATAAAAAATTTATAATAATTAATGACTAAAAATTAATGTAAATAAATTTTGTATTAATATTTACTACGTAACCTAATGAAGTCTTCATTCGTCGGATTTTTTAAAGTAATTTAATTTTTATTTAGTATTAATTATTTTTTAATTAATTTATATTGAAATCACATTAAATTAATTTTTATATTGATGCGTGTATATAAAATTTAAAAAAAAACGTATTCCCTTAAATGTGTTAGTAAATCTAAAATCTCATAGTGACAAATTGATTTACAAATGGCTACTATCGGTATCAACTGTCATTGATTTTAAACTATGCAAATACACTTTAGCATATCAAAGTTATTTTTTTATCAATACATAAATTAAGATTGTAAATTAAATAACTCAGAAATGTCTACATTAGCTAAAAATAGAGTCAAAAGCTCTTGGACTCCCTTAACTAATGGAGAAACGAATAACAAGGTAAGTTGCTAAGGACACGCACTTGTCACAACAGCATGTTGCCGTCATCATTATTTCAATACAACAAAAATCAAGTCGGCATTACCTTTTTTTTTTTTTACTTTATTTTCAATTGATTACTCAATCTTATTTTATTTCTCATTATAAAAAGGGCGTTGGGACTGAGACCATATATAATTCAAATTTTGTAGCAATTGAAAAGTAATGGCAATGTGTACTATTTATTTTTGTTTATTTTTTGTCATTATTGTCGCTTTAAAATAAGTAAAAAATATCGAACGTGAAAATAAAATTTTTTAACGAAATAACTAAACGCCTTCAAAAACTACACTAAGATTTTTTAATAGAATCCTAATTTAAAAATTTAAATAAAATAAAAAAGATAAACGGATCTGAGAAAAAGAGAAACTGTGTGTGTGGGTGACCTTAAAGGAAAAAATGGACTTTTTAATTTGATTTTTTTTTTTTTTTTTTTTTTTTTTTTAAACAGAAAATACTATCTAGGAATTTAAGTAAAATTATTCAAAATTAATTTAAGGCAATCTAGAGAAAAATAGTTTCTAACTCTAAAGATCACAAAAATCAACATTGCATCAAATCAAAACAAAATTAATTTTTTTGTAGATAAATATTTCTGAGTAGAAGTCATAATAATTTTTAAAAAGAAAGTATTTATTTGTGCTTGGTCAATCACTGTTTAGTGTTTAAAAATGCAAATAATTTATACCTTAAATTAACACATTTTAGTCTTTGGAAATATTTGTATTACAAGTCAGTGTATTTGTTATGATTTTCCAACCTTGGCGTGAAAAAAGGCGGGGGAGTAAATTCCTTACAACAATTATTTATGGTAATTTCTCATGAAAACCGCTTTTTTGTTTTTTTTTAAATTTTTATTTTATTTTATCTCAAAGATAATCTTACTCATAAACATTTTTGAATTACTCTTTATATTTTCATTTAAAAAAAAAAACTTAAACTAAATTGACAATTTTACTGGGTAGATTTTCATTTTATTATATTTTAATATTTTTAATAAAATTAATTAAATAATAAGTTACTGATCCTACAAATGTGCACATAAGTATTATAGAACTAAATGTATTTTAGCCCTTTCTATAACTAACAAATTTAATGAATTGTCATGTTCTCGTCTATAAAATGCCAATACAAGTTGTAATTATATCAGAATTCATACCAACCAAAATAGTTATAGGTGAGAAAACTGTATCCAGAAAGATCTTATTGTGGAGATTAGTACAAAGTTCATGGACTAGATTTTATATTTCCTATAAATTTTTATGACTGAAGGACTCATAGGGATAATTTTGGAAGATATACAAAAGAAATTTTCTCAGTGATTCTGTAACACTAACAGTATCTCAAAAAGCATCATACACTCTTTCTCTATAGGAAACAAAAGATTTAAGTGATCTTGACTTAAAATTTTCAGACTGTCCAGAAATGGTGACGCTTGATTTCATAAAATACCTTCTTAAAGATTTGAGTTGCTTATTCCATCATCCACAATCAGAAAAGTAATGAAACCATTTAAATCCCCTTGCATTAACAATTGTCTGATGTGAATATGATGACACTTGAAGTTGCTTGTAGAGCCCATTTATGAAGACTTGCCCAGATACATTTTTCCTATCTTATATGTGGGATTATGCTGCATAGTTAAAGGCCATTCTAATGCAAATGTATGCCATATCTGAGCCTACTTCAAGTATGGAAAGAGATTTTCTCATTCAAATATTTTTGATATTTGGGAAAAAAATTTGAGTGCATGAAAAATTTATTTACAACTGTAACTTGTTTGACACATTGGTCTGCATTATTCTATCCTCATTCTATTCATGACCCATCCATATTTTATCTTTAACCAAAAGAAATTTAAATACAAAATTTGCAATCCCAAAAATGCTATATTTAATCTATGGGGCCTACACCAGAAGGGAATAAATCCTCCAAATTTGCAAACTAATTAAAATTAGGGTTAGTATGGATACCTCCATACTTGTGTTTAGGTAAAGCACCTACTGTTTACAGGAGTGGATAATCCACTCTCTGAAACAAGTAATACGTTTACTGAGCGGAATATGTGTGAAATCAACAATGGATGCAAAATGGTAGCCTTTGAAGATGAAAACATGAAAGCTGAAAACTTTAAATCTGAAATCTTTAAAAGGAACTGAATGTATAGAGGGTGTAGTGGACCATGAGGTTTACACATTGTTAAATTAGGAACACATGTGTTTATTCCTGCTAGAAGAAGGTCCAGCTACAAGAATATGATGGAGTCAGAGATTGAATCCATCATAAAGAAGTGTAAAGAAAACCAACAAGACCGATATATAGGTACAAACAAGTATATGTATTAAACAAAATTTACAATGGACATAGACATTAACATTTGTGTTTGTGTGTGAACGTAAGGAGTTTGTATTTTGGTAAATGTTCGTACGTATGTGTATGTGTGTATAATGTTAATGGCGTCTCCCACAAATGGGAAGACGCAATCTTCTGTGAGAGCTTACATTGTAGATGTGTTGGTTGAAAAAGAGAACAAGGCAAGAAATCGCCTAGTATTTATAGTGTAGGGAGAGCGTGCCCTAGTGAACAATTAAGAAATTAAGGAGGAGTTAACTACGACAAGGGTTTTATTCACTCATCTACCTAAGAGTACATAAAACCAGTGAAAGGTCCAAAGGGAACTATAAATTGGGACATGGTTTCTAGAAAAGCCAATCAATTTTGGCAACTTTCACATACAGCAGACTTGCTACTTTCACTTCTTGCTGAAATCTATGGAATTCTAACTTTTTTCATCAAAGCTGATATTTGAAGAAATTGATCAGATCTTTATGGGTAAAAAGATCCATTCTCATTGATTTCCTTCAGTTACATGCACCATACCAGCATTCTAGTCATACCGAGCAGTATTAGAAACACCCTTCAGACCATGGTGATGACATATTATCATACATGTATGCAATGCCAATGGACATGAATCATTTTGGCATTATGCAAGCTCTTAGTTTGATAACTATCTCAAAATGGACACTGAAGAAGGGTATCAGATAGAATTATAGTCAATTAGAGGAAAATGTACATCCATCACACTTTCATTCTGCCTTTCAAAGATATTCTTCTCTTGAGCCAAGTTGTTACCAACACTCTGATCTTTGCCAGCACCTGTGACCAATTCTTATCCAGTTGGACATCAGATCCAAAATACACTTCAAGAATGTACATGTCTGTCTGTCCAACCAAAGAGCTCCAGAAGAGAAACAGCTATCAGCAGATCAGGTGACATTATCCAGTTAACCTTGGCTTTTGTTCAAGCATCTACTGCACCATTTCTATATCATCACTTCAGGACATGAATATGGTAGTATTATCAATATTGTCGACACCCTGGTTTGTGCCTCGCCAAGGATGCCTATTTCATGCAGTAACAGAATCACATATAAATTTAGTGCAATAGATGGCAACTCTGTTAAACCCACTGCAATATTGCATGTGTTTCCAACCAATTCTCATTCAAACACATCACAGTAATAGGTAAACAGCACAAGTTAATCCATTTAAAAAAAACCTAGTTATAATCCAGTAGCCTCCAGCACAATCATCAAGAACTGGTCACCCATCCTATAAAAGACCTTGTACAGTTTCTATATCATTTTCTCAACCCTGTAAGATAATGCACTCCAAGTGTATGTTCTGGATTATTTGACTCTCTACAGCATGTTTACTCTAGTACAGACAATGCCACAACAGCAACTTCCAATCCCTATAAAATTTTATTAATAGGAAAAAGTTTAATTCTCTGAAGTTGACTTAAAGATGGTGAAAGGTAGTGGAACAAAATTGAATATATGTGGTTGAGTAAATCTATTTACAAATGTCTAAATATTGTCTTCAAAATTCATTTAAAAAAACATTATGAACTTTGGTTCTGATCCAGTATTTGAAATATTCAAATATTTAGCATATATTATTTTTTATTTCAGTTATTTGAAGAAAGAAAAAAGTTGACTGAGAAATGGGTATGTTAAATTTCTTCTTTCTTGAATTATGATTTTAAGACATTAAAAAAAAACATGGTTTTATTAATAATGATTAACTCACAAAATTATTTTTGATATCTGAGGAAGATGCAATTTGCTTATAGTCATCAACATTTGAATATGGAATTTGATTTTTAAATTGTTTAATTTTACTACTTTTCTCTAAATTTTAAGAACACATCTTTAGAACATCAAACACATTTAAATAGTATGTACAAATATTATGTAGTAATTTGAAAATATGCAAACATAATTTCTTGAATTATAAAAAAACAAAATGCCCCATCATGGTTTTACTGCAAACAAGAAAATTTTTTAAATTTCATCTGTGTAACTCTAATGAACAATCTTAGAGTATACAGCATTATTATTATGGCTTGGCTTCAAAGAAACATTTAGGAAGGTTTTCTATGTTCATTACAGGCTTTTAGATTGTAAATTAAGTCCATATGGGCTAAATATGCTTTACCACAACAATAGCAGAGCCTAGCAGTTTGTGAAGGCTCTTACTTCACAAAACTGCCTGTTTTTATTGACTTGATTCTTCAAGGGAAGTTGCCTGATAAATTCTGTGCTGCCATATCTCTCTGTCCAATGCTTCTATTTCCTTCTGATGGTGGTTAAATCTGTAGGACATTGAGGTAATTTTCAGAGAGTCTTTATATCTCTACAATGAGCCCCACTTCTCTGTCAATCAGAGACTAGTGCCCTGGGTATGAGTGTTTGAAAGACTTTTCTGTGCTTGCCACATGGCCATCCTATCACATTTGAAACTTCTGAAACTTTTGTGTGAGTGGACCAAATCCATGGCAACTCCGACAAGCTTTATCAAAGTTTTCATGTGAGTCTGTAAAAGCTTTATGTTGAATGGGTTTGCCATTTTTGCAAGTGTGGATATAAATGTTGTCTTTATCATCCATTTCCTTTGTGTCTGATTCAACATCATATTAAAGAATATTGAAAATAGTGAAAGAGCCAGTGCATAGCTTTGCTTGATGATGTTTTGATTTGGAGAAATTCCTTCTGCAATTGACTTGTCCATATTGCACCTCGTATAACTGGATGTGCATGCTAAGAAATTTTGATGAGCAACCCAGTTTTTCCAAGATTATTCTGAGGGTCACACACTGAATCAAACACTTTGTAAGATTTCTCTTGAATATATCTTGGGTCAAAGCAGATCATCAAGACATACATTACCAGTGTCTTTTACCACATTCCCTTAGCAAAGGATTCTATGAAATATTGCAGTGTTGTCACCCTTTTCAGTTGTATGTGCAGCTACACCAGCTGTGCCATGGACATTCCAGGTTCAGAAATAGTCCTGGAAGAACATGCACAGAATATTAGGTGACCTTCTGACAGAAGGATGGTGGGAACAATATGGAGGAACTGCTTTTCAATTGATGCAGAGTCCTCATGGCATTGTCAAAAATCAACTTAAGACTGCCAGCTGATCTCAGCCAAAACTGTACATATACTTGTCCAGTAAATCAAGATTGTCACTGACAGATGTTAAACAAGACAACATTGACACCATGATGTATGTTTGTTGGGGGTCTTAAAATTGATGTTTAGATGTGGAAGTCACCAAGATAGGGGTTTACTTGTTTACAGGAGTTTATCTTTGGATAACATTCTTAATCCAAATATACACCAATTTATGTCATTTAAAAATACATGCAAAGATAATTAATACAAAGATATATATTGCATGTACTGATAAAAATTTATATCTCTCAAAATAAAATATACAATAATATTCAAAGAGTTCATAAGTTCCTATCAGAAAGTTCTCATGTAGAAAATTTTTAAGACCTTAGTGTACACACACACATACATACATACATACATATATATATATATATATAGAGAGAGAGAGAGAGAGTCGTTGTTAATGTGTAGGTATGTAAGTATTTCTTGATAGTAGTAATTCTTTTGACTCCCTCTGTTGAATTTTTAGGTATCTAAAGCTTGAGGTTAAGGGACAACGAATGAAATTCTTTTCAGTGGGTGACCTAGTCCATTTGCCTGTCCATCATTTTCTGTCTTAACACTTTTTTAAGACATTAGAATTCATTCCCAAATTGTTCTTTATTTTGTATTGGTCCCAGAAATGACTCATTTGACAATCTCTTTTTCTTTATCTACATTCAGGAATGACATTTTGACCTCTTTTATTTATTTCTTTATTTTTTCCTTATCTTTTTGTTTTTAATTCTTTATGGCAAATCAAAATGTTTTGCCAACTTTTAGCTTTCTATATTTTTTTTTTTGAAATAGTGACCTTTTTCTTTTTTTTATTACTACATGTCCATCACCAGAAAGATGCCACGTTCTGGAAGGATGTAATCATGAAGTTGCCTCAAAGATGGCATAAGGTAGTGGCCCATATGTAGTTGTGTAAATCTATTTACAAATATCTAAATATTGTCTTTGAAATTCATTTAAAAACATTATGAACTTTTGTTCCAACCCACTAGTGGATTGATTCAGCAGCTTATGGGATGCTTTCATTGCAGAAAAGAGACACCTTACCTGAGCCAAAACTATACACATACCTCATCCAGCAGATCAGTTATAGATTGTCACTGACACAAAGGAGTATCGGCAACATGATATATGCCAACTGAGGAGGAAAATTCCTTCTCTGTGGTCACCACTTGGGAATACCAGGTGCTGTAAGCTATGTGAGTATTGCATCCTTAAGGAATTACTCACTTGTATCTGTACCACAATCCAGCAAAGTTCCTTCATGTACTCACAGCCTTAGGCTTGCTACTGATGTAATCAAGAGGAACTTATTCTTCAAGATTGTGTCTGTTCACACACTGTCACACATCTCATACTAGATGAGCTGAAGTAAACATTGTGAGAGTCTATTCTCAAGACCTATTTAACAATAAGAACAGATTCTGCTTCCACTTTCAAGGCTCCTGAAAACAATGAGATTCTGTGCTATCATTATTTCTCAATCAAAATAGGATACAGCAAAAATCCAAATGGCAATCTTGCCACAGAAAAATAGTTCAGGACATGAAGAAAGAACTCTTATAAAGTGATTTGTCTGGTGGATGGATCTCTTCAGTTTTCCTTTCTATAGCCATGTGAGTACTGAATGCTAGAATTTGGTTACTTGGGCTGTAACTCAGGGAAGTTCTCTATCGGGGCCAGTTCACTAACAAATTCATTAACTTTAAGGATATGGGCCTGATTAACCAGCAACAGCACAGATGTCTTTCTAACCATGACTACAGTGAATATTGTAATGTTCCTAACCACTCATGAAGACCATGAATAGAAGTGAACATTGGTAATATTATGTTGCATCAATCTGACAAAATCCAGTAGCTGTGAATGATACCTTGTGCCCTCTATACAGGATGGTTGGGTCAATATTTAAAAGTTTACTGATGTCCAGTTGAGAGCAAATACATACAAAGCATATAAATGTTTTTCTCTTTTTTTTAAGCTATCTACACACACATAAATATAATTTTTTCTTTCTCTTTTGTGATCTGTGTTGTTCTTTATATATGTATAAAAATCCTCATGTTGAACCCATTTCTTTTGAAAAATTTTCATTGAAAATCAGTAAACAATTGTAACTCTTCTCACTGCAAACTGGTGACCAACAGCAACCTTGTCTATTACAATATTGTAGTACCATTTCACTACAAAGATTTTGCTTGTGATGGAAAGCAAAGTGATATTCTGGTATATTTTTTTTAATTTCTTGTGATCTCATCCAGCTCCAATTTAATTGGTTATTATTGGATGTGGTTGCTACCTGTGTTAGGTGGTTTGTGTTGAAGAAAGACGAGACTGCTTACACCAACAGTTTATGATGTAACTTCTGTTGATGGGAAGTTCTGAGACATTTGTACTGCGTAATAAAGTTTGTTTTGTACGAATATATGTAAACAAACTAATAACTTGCCGCATGAGACAAGGGAGATAACTATAATTTTCTCACTAAATGCTTAGCACTTAAATTACAACAGGTTAACATAAAGAATAGTCATCCAGTTTTCAAAACACAAACATGAATAGAAAGTGTCCAGTTTTACTTATTTTTAATTTTTTCAACTGTTGGACATTTTAATTAATTGCCTGTGATTAAATATAAAACAATGTTTATATATTAATCTTAATGTCTATTTGAACTTGTAACATACATATGGGATAAATTCTGTAGCAGTTTTGGTTATCACTCAGTGGCACTATCTCTGTGCAAAATCCAACATTAATGAACTAAAAGCTTATACACAGTAATTATTTACTTTCAAGAAACCTTTCTTAAACAAGCCAGGGACATCAATATGTCACCCTATGCCTTCCTAGTCAATCAAGACGTCCAATACCTGCAGCTGATTGAGGGGGGGGGATGTTGATCACTTCGATCCAGGCCTGAGCTTATTCCATGTTGTGATTTGCTTGATCCTAAGGCATCCAAGAACGAATCTTCATATGGTATCTTTGTATTGGGCTGGTTCAAGCTGGGCGAAGATGCACAATAAGAAAATAACTAATAAATCAAAAAAATATTAAATACTGTTTTTATATAAAGTCCTTCATACAGTAATTGGTTAAATCAAGAGTTTGCATGCAACAATTATTGACCCAATCCGTTTCTAACTTGAATGTGACACTTTTGTTGACTTGGTAAAGTTTGTTTTGCTGATTTGGTAAAGTTTGGCACAAGGCTGAAATCGGGGGTTCTCTTTGGTAGATAATCACGTGGGGTGTATCACAACCAGTGGCTGGAATGAACTCTCTTCCATCTGATGATCTCACTTCAGGCATTCATATTTATTGATGTTCACCCAAACTGGCATGGGGCACAGCACAGTTGAAGAATTTGGTATTTCTTCCTGTTGTCATCTTCCTTGTTTAGTTGCTGAAAATTAAATTACTTCATAATTTTGGAGAATTCCCTTCTTCCATGCGTGATGGTTGCAGGCATCACTTTGCCTGATAACTTCCACTTTCTCTTAGGATCTCCCACTAATCCTCCTCAGTGAGTGTGGGTGGCTCCTCCACCTTCCTTGGTGTCTCATCTGCGCCTATTACCTCAGCCAACATCTGACCAGGAAAGATTAATTCTAAGTTCATTGTTTATGAAAATAAAGTTTCCCATTCACAGCTGTGTGTGATGCGTCAATCATTATTCACCTTTTGGCTTGCTGCAGTTCAAATCCACGTCCACCTTATGTTTTTCATTGTTTGAAACCCTGACATACAATTCAGGTGGCTGTCTATAATTAGAATTAAAATCTTCAATTTTTCCCACAGGTTTCATTAATTAACCCTTCTTATTTATCAGGGGTCTGTTAGTGTATCTTTCCTTCTATTTCCAGCAACAAAATAGTGTCACAAATATAAAAAAAAAACTACAAACAGTACAATTACATGCACATTACTGGATGGACATAGTAAAAGCAAAATGAATCTTGAAACTATGCATCATTTCTTAAATGAAAATTAGCTTAACAAACTACAAGAAAATTTTCCTAAATTCTTCATCTTACTAGGTGACTTTAAATCACAATATCACATGGGGATATAGGAACACAAACCAAAACCTTACAAAACATCATAATAATTTAATCATAATTCATGCCTCTTTATCAAGAAATCCCAAATATATTTTAGCCCAACTACTGCAACTATCCAGCTATAGATTTAACTTTATTTAATATTGCAGTTTTCCTTAATTACAAATGGACAGTACATAACAACATGTAATGTTCCATTTATACTAAAAAACACAGTACTAATGTTGAAAATCTTCCTCACAGGAAATTAATCATAGCAAAGTGGAAAGAATTTAGATATAAGTTAACCAAAAATGAATCCCAAATGACAATATTAATGATTCTCCAAATCACTTCACAAAAACACTCATCTCCATAATGAAGGAATGCATATCCAAAAGTTCAAAATTCCAAACAAATGTAACAGGCTCTGTGGGTCGATGTCACCTGCAGAGAGGCCATAAGATTATGACGAGTGACATTACACTCTTCCTACAACCCCCAGTTTAATCTCCTTCAAACTATATAGAGCAAAAGAACACAAAACAACAAAAGCCAAGAAAGAATGTTGCAAAAAATATGTAAGTAAACTGAACTCCTTCTATAAAATAAAAGGTCTGAAACATAAGAAAATTCTCTGGAAAAAACTAACAACTCCTCTAAACATATTACCAAAATCAACACCAAAGCAACCAGTGAAAAGGATGTTGCAGATTTACTAGCTCAGAGATTTAAAAAAAAAATCCTCCAGTAGGAATGGCAATCAACAGTTTTTGAGCATCAAACATAATTCTGAAAAATAAAAAATAAGCTTCAAATCAAACTACTGCAAAAACTATAATAAACTATTCACCTTAGCATAGCTTAAAAACTCAATCAAGAGATCCCATAACACTGCTGTCATTCTGAAAAGTTATGAATTTATGAAACAATTATCAGAAAAATCATTAGATTACATCCTGAATACCTTCAACAATACATAGATAAGAAGCAAATTCCTAATTATATAGAGACAGACTACTGTAAACCCTATCCCAAAACTCAGTAAAGATTATACAGATTCAGAAAATTATCGGCCCATTTCATTAGCTGCTTACCTCTGTAAAAGCATGAACATGTTATAAACAACAGACTGGCCTGGTTTCTGGAAATCATCAGCCTCATCACAGATTTCCACTATGACTTCCAAAACAAAAAAAACATTAGTGATCAAATGGTCCACTTAGAAACATTCATAAAGGAAGCCTTCATAAAAAAGAACCACCTGACAGCAGTCTTTTTTGACTTGAAGAAGTCTTTGGAAAGAAATCTAAGAAGGAAATCTGTGTCCTCCATGACCTCTCACCAGAGAATTGAGCACAGCATTTAATCACTTGTAACAGTAAGCTGACTTTGTAAAACAATTTTTTGATTGTTAAAGATGAAAACTGGATACTGTATATTAATAAATACAAATAAATAATAGTAAAAATAGTTTAACCCCATGTTAAAGTGATCCCATTAGTGAAACCAGGAATTGAACTACAAAAGGTTATACTATGCCTCTGATGAAACATGACAGGTATCTTTGCTCTAAGTTACTGCAAACATTTATTGTTAGTAACTTGAATGTATCAATGATGCATTGAACCATAAATGTGCAGCTATGGTTGTTATCCTCTAGAATGGCAATGTAAAGCCTCACTCAGCAAAATGAAGCCAGGAGAAAATAGTCATTAGACTGGAAGGTTTTTCTTATCCTTCATTATTTAGCACCTTTGGGCTATCATTTGTTCCAATTGCAATAATATTTTCTTAATGCCAGGGCATTCAGAAATAAAAAAAAAGAAATCAGTTCAAATCTTTTTCTCCTTTTTTTTTTTTTTCCATAAAATATCCCAGAATATTACCAGTGAGGAATGATCAAATAGATTTTCATTGGGCTATTGTAATTGCTAATGGAAAAGTGAAAGAAAAAGAGACATAATTGATTAATAAATTTTAACTCTAATTATATTTGAATCTGTGTTTGTTTACTCTTTTAAAATGTAATATTGCTTTTCTGAACAACCTAATAATTATGCATGTAGTTGTACAGATTGAATTATTTTTTTATACATGTCTTTCCTCAGGGTTTTAATGTTAACTGAATCATTTTTTTAACCATTTCACCAAGGCAATAAAGCCACTAAGCTGTAAGCAGTTAGTGCGAATGAAAGAAACTGAGAAAATGTTATTGAAGAGAGAAGACAAAAGAACTGGGTTCAAGGAGACGGAAGACTGTCAATCTGGTACTACATCTAAATTTGTGATGTCAAAATATTAGAGAGGAAAGTTCATCTGAATAATTGCCATGAAAATATTTATAGAATTGACATAGAAGCTATGATTGAATGATTAAAAACACACTACTAATTTTAAATGTACAATAAAATTAAGTTATTATTATTATAAATCTTATCAAAATATAATTACTGATTGATTTTTAAAAATCTCATTTATTTATTGATTTTCTCATTGCCTAGTTTGAGAAATGGTCAGAAAAGCAACGTGCCAATGTGCTATCATCATTGCTGCAGCTATGCACTCAGAAGCAGTTAAGGTATGTGGACCAATTTGTAAACAGCAGATTGCCAACCAATCAAGATGACTTCACTCGAATTCTCCCTCGTGTCATCACTCTCTACATCTTTTCATTTCTAGATCCCCGAAGTTTGTGCCGATGTGCTCAGGTAAGTTTCTTTTGTCTCACAATCACTTTCTCTCTTTTTCACCCTCTATTTTTTAATCTCTTAACAGAATATATCAATTATTCTCACCAAAATTTTCTAGTGAATGGGATTATATCAAGAATTCTTATCCCAAAAATGTTTCAGTACAAAAATAAAATGCTGAATGTAACTTCTCATGTCCATACTATTGTAGCAAGTGTTAAATCTTTTCACTTGACATGGATGCATTGATAACCCTATCAGCAGCTGTAACCCCTTTTCAGCGTTTGGGCATTTGTTAAGAAAAAAAAAACTGGGAGTGTGTGGCTTAGACAATACACATAACTTACTCCCTAATACACCAACAAAGTTCAACTTTTCCTTCATTCTTTATGGAGACTCTTAAGAACATTCCTTGAGTTTGCATTTTCTTTCAGAAATTATCCTTGAAATTTTCTCTATACAATAATGTTTACCATAGAATAAAAATTTCTATCTTGTTTCACTATTTATTTTTCTCTATTTTCTTAACCAATTCAACACTTTTCTAGTTTTTGTCCAATATACAACACCTCAACTTCAAACAATGACCCCTAACATAAACAACACTATTTATTTGGAACAATAAATAAGGTTTTTCTTTTCGTTTTTGTTATCTTACAGTCAACTTGATAATTTAGTACATTTGTAGGAGTTTTTTATGATAGGTTGTTTGTTTTGTTGTTCTTTGGAGTTTGTTACAATAAAAAAAAAGTGAATTTGAAGCTTTATTTCATTATCAATATTTAGGTGACACTCAGGCATTGATACAGTAAGTCAAAGTTTTAATGATTTTTCTTTAGAGGGTGAAGACTGTTCAGTTCTCAGTGATCAACATAGGAAAAAGTGTGTATGGGAGGAATCACAGTACCGGAAAGAAAGTTTCTCGGTTTCGAGAAGTACTTGTTGCAAAACGAATTATCATTTTATGTTCCTGGTATTATTTGTCCTGCAAACAATATTTTGCAAACACATTCAAATCCCAGGTAAAATAGACAATACATGGAATTTAAACAAACAGCAATTAATAAAACATGTTACAAAAAAGTAAGGACAAAATGTACTACATCATTGAAGTTAATGATAGTTTAACACCATCTTCAGTAGAAGTCTCTGAAGTACTTAAATGCTGTGTGTTCTATGGGGGGGGGGAGAAATGTCTGTATTATCGCACCCAGTCAAAGTCAAAGGGGAAAAAAAGAAGAGACTTTCAAAAATCATGCTGCATGTTATTTTAATCAAGGGTGATAATCCAACATACTACACCCAATATATCCAACACTTTTTGTAATCAATTCTCTTTCTAAAGACCCCATAATTAAAGTAAAGTTTTCAGTTTATTTTTTTCTTTAGTCTTTTTATTAGACTTTAAAAAAAGTTCTTTGCCAGTTTTTTGGGTTTTTTCTAAAAATATCTTAAGTTAATACCCAGCATGTTGGGGTTTTTTTTTTCTGCAGGACTTTTAATTATTAAATTCATGAAAGACAAAAAAAACATTTTTTGCATGGGTGTATTTCATCCATGAAATTTAAAAAAAATACAGTTTCAAAATAAGACAATTTTGAAAGTTAAATATTCTTGAAGGATTTCAACAAATTCAATGAAACTATCAACTCTATGTTAAAATTGATGACATCTTGAAAAATATTATATTGATGAAAAAAAATATCTAACTAATGAAATAATCATATTGACCTAACTAGAAATCAAGGACTGATCTTTTATATTTGAAACCCTATATTATTTGCTTACTAAACTCCTCAATATTGTAGCCACTATTTGAAAAATAAGCAGTCATTTAAGTTGAGTTCTTTTAATGGCAGTCTTACCATTTACAAGAAAAAAAGGTCAGACAGTGGTTAAGAAATGACTGCTGTGAAAACTATGTGAACCTTTTTCTGATTAGTCAAAAAAGATGTTTTATGACCCTAATATTTTTGACTGTATTCTGTTTGAGTTAAAGAATTGGGGTTCCAACAGGACACTAGACTTTAAATAATATAACTGTGATTACTTCCCTTGGTCTCTACTGTTAAGATACAGAGAAATCTAATATTGTATTTTTGTTAATGTATAATAGATAAACCATATTATAATAACCAACAGTAATAGTGTTGGTTTAGTGCAGTAGCTAAATTTATGTTTTATTATATATATGTAAGGTACTGAGACTTATAAAGGATGGGATAGAGCTAAGTACAGTTCCCATTTTTTATAAAAAAGAGAATCTAGTGCAGTTTTGTTAGTCTTTCTGATCTTACAGAAACAGCTAATTATAAAACCTTTAACTTTTTCTATTATTCATCTGATATTCATTATATTGATTTTTGATATGCATATTTTTTTTAATTCTTTCAGTTAGTATTGTAGCTTATTGCATTTAATATAAACATGCAGCCATGCATTCCTCATCAATTGAAAAAAACAATTGATATTTTTATTTATTTAGAAAGATGTTTACCTGAAAGAATCGTTATTTCTTTATATAATATAGAATACTTGTAAAATTAGAAAGTAAACTTAATATTTTTCTGATATGTTTAGAAATAATATTGATATATTTTAAAAGTAACAGTAATTCATATATAGTTCTGAGTTACTTATACATGTTGATAGCAAACAAATATTTTTTAGCAATTTAAATTTTTTTTTTTTAACAGGTTTGTTGGTATTGGAAACAGTTGTCTGAGTTGGATCAGTTATGGCTACCAAAATGTGTGCGTTTTGGTTGGTATCTTCCCCACCTTCCAACTCCATTTGAAACCTGTGTGTGGAAAAGACATTATGTGGACCAAATCCAGAGCTTGAGGCTGTTTAGAACAAAAGTAATTCTATGTATCTTTATTACTTATTTAAATTTAATTATTAATCAAATATTTTAGAAAATCTAATTGTGTTCAAGCTATTATTTAAAAAGAGGCTAGTTAGTCAAATTTTAATAGATATCATAAGTAACAAGACTAAATAGTCTTGTTACTTATGATATCTATTAAAATTTGTAATCCTAAATTTGTTCTTTGGTTACGATAGATATGTTTGGTTAGAATGGATATTTTATCCAATTTTATTTTAGTTTTTATTTGATATTTTAATATTTTTGATGAGCTACAGTAATTGAAGAATGAAATGTTAATCTCAATGAAAGTGTTTCCTCTACACAAATAAATAATATCCATGTATGAAGCCAATTGTATTGTAAGTTCTAAATATAGGCTAACAAAATCCTGAATATATACACTTCAGTTTCATTTTGGCAATTTAAAGCCTTTCATTTTAAACATTGTTTAGTTATATTATTTGATGAGTTAGATTTCATATGTATATTATATTATCATTAAATGCAGATAAATATCTCTTTAAATATATTTAAATATATATTTGTTTTACAAACAAGAAAGTACAATTAATTTTTCTTATATTTTGATTATTATTAACTTCATCATCAGAAAATTATAATTGGAATTCACAATGTGAATCTTCCTTTTTGGAATTCATAATCAAGAAAAAGATATCAGTTTTCAAATTTAGTTCAGCTCAGAACCCTTTCACCATTAATCACATTTTAACTCATTGTATCTCTTAACATTTTCATCTATTTTATATATTTCAATTTATATTGTGCAATTTCTTGTATTTTACTCAAATATATAAGCTATATGATTAATTTCCGCTTATAATGTTCTCAAGATTATATCAATAAACATGAAAATATAGTTTTAAAATCTGTGGTATTTTCTTTGTTAATTACATATTGATTATCTACAAATATGTTTTTTGATTTACAACTTTCTGGTTTTGAGAATTATATAATGTCTTTTTTTTTATCTATAAAGGCATCATCTCCAGATCTTGAATTAGAAAAGTTAAAACTAGACAGTAAACGAGAGCAGCGGCAAAACACATCTAAGCTTTCTTCCAAGAAAACCAAGAAACCTTGGAGGGGTTCAGACCCTCATCCAAAGGATATGATCCGTTACAACTATCTGGATAATACCGATGACTACACTAAAAGGTAAAGAACTATATTTCTTTTTATTTGTGCTCAACTTTTAGTACAAAATTGATGTAGCCATGAAGACTGGAAACCAAATATCAAACAATGGATGATGACAAGTATTTTTTTGGCAAAGTTTATCTTTTGTGCTCAAAAAAAAAATCTGTTTCAAAAGGACAGTTTTTCTATTAATACTATTACTGTATACTACCAAGACAACCCTAGGCAATGTTCATTTATAATATTATAAAAAATATATGGACTAAGTACAATACAATATTTATTATTTGTCATTTTATAAAGAAATGAATTTGAAAATATTTTTATTAAAAAAATTTATAAAAATCTACAAATTTATCAAAGTATGTGAACCATAATTTTTAACTATTTTATAAATAAATAACTATGAAAACAAGTTTTTTTATTCATAATCTTATGAAAATATCTATGAACTATAGAACAAGAAAATTTAAATAAACATGATTTTTCCAGGCATTATACATTTTCTTCTCAAATTACTTTATATTTCAGATTACTTTTTGTTTCAATTTTCCAATTTTTTTTATAATTGTAATCTAAGATCAAGGATCTAATCAATACAAATCCAAGACTTGAAACTCCAGCAATTATAAGTTACCTCCCCTCCCTTCTCTTTTTGAAAAAAAATTTTGACAATTTAAAAAAAATATATCTAGAAAATTTGCCAATAGATTATTTATTGTCAGCTAAGTATTGACTGAAAAAATCTAAAATGAAGAGTGGACACTAAGCAACTTGACTAGAGCAATTGGCAAAGCTGATGAATTGAGTTCTTTGGAATGGTTGGTAAAAGTATGGTGAACTACCAATCAATTCAAACTTCATAAAATGGTAAATAATAAAGATTTTATTATAGCTGGCTCACATATTTTTATGATTTAATAATTCTTTCTAAATTTATGAATAAAAAATGTTTTCATATTTATTTCTTTATAAATTGGTAAATGAAAAACATTGGATTGTATTAGTTGGTGTGCATAGTTTTATAATGTTCTAAATATAAAATTATTCTTGGAAACTAACAATTTAATAAATAGTGTTTCATGTTTCTGTTGTCAATTCTCAAGAACAAAGAAAAAGTATAAACTCACTTCCATGAGTTTGGGTTCAATAAACATCGTCGAGCGAGTGAAGGGTGTATACTGTAATAGAAGTGTCAAGGGAAAAATTATTCTTTTGACACGCCATTTTTTTTTTTTTTTTTTTTTTTTTTGTGGGCACAAAGATTAAACTTTGCTGATTTCCCCACCCTCTACTGTTTGTTCCCTGATTCTAAATAAGTCAGCCCATTAATTTACTACTGAAATGATATATTTCTTCCTGATATCTTTTTATGTCAAAGTCACATAAGGCCTTAAAGCAATTGTTTAACATTATAATATAGTTTACTGAAGTATTATATTTTGTGGTTCTGAGTTTTTAAAACAAAAGTTTAGATTTTAGCAAAAATGGAGCAGAAGGTGCAAAAATAGTCTTGCCTCTGCTGAATTAAAATTGAGTGAACAAAATCTCTACAGTGAGGTATCTATAAGCTTTACTTTCTTCTGATTGGCTATATGTGGGTGATGTAATGTATAGTGGCTTGGAATGGGAAATCAGTGAGCAGAATTTGAATTCCAGTCAGGTTCATTATATTCACATAAGTGCAAATACTCTTGGGAAAGGTACAAATCCTTTTCCTTTCCCCAGCTATGAGTTAACTAGCAGAACTTATATCTGGAAAAATTATTGTTATTCTTTAAAAAAATGTTAATGCAATATTCACTAGCAAAAAAGTATTATTCTTAAAATCAAAGTTTTGACTTTAAAAATAACCACAAAGTGTTGATAAGCTATAAAAATAAATCAATCAATTCTTCTGATTGCTATATACAGCAAAGTACTCATTTTTCTCCTTTGTTTTAGAGTATAATGATAATGTTTATTTGCTACTGTTACAATGCCTAGTTTTAATGTTTATCACATTATAAGGTCTTTTGATGTTACAAAAAACAAAATAAAGTTGCAAATCAAAATAGAATTTATTAAAAATTCCCTACAAATTTTACAGTAAAAAAAAAAACAGTAGCTTTCTGTACCATTAATGGCATTGCTTATAGGAATATTAAAAGCTTTATATGAATAATTCAGATTCAACTGATCATGTGAATTAAAATAAAATTGATTCAAGACTTTTGCTTTTGAAGCAAATCACAAGTGGATTAAGTTTCACTCACTCACTTACTCATATTTAGCAATCCACAAAATTTGACCTATAAAGAAACATTTTAAGAGCATGCTTTCTAAGGTGAAATTATGACCAATTTATACAAAATTTCACAGTAAATAAAAAAAAAATGGAATTAACAAAATTATATAATTATTGCATTAATTATGCTAATTGAATCAATGTCTTTAGTTAATAGCACATTAATAAAAATATTACAGAATTAATGGCACAAAATAACAATTCCTAAGCTGCAATCTAATCATAATTTCTAATTTATATAATTATTTTGTTGCAAGTTAAAATCCTCAAAGATTCAAGCCAACAATTTCAAGGTTATAGAGATGACATTAAAATATGAATTTAGGCTATCACATTTTTTCTAATCATTGAAAACTAAAACTGAAAATGATTAACCCCAAAACATTTTCATATTTTGTTTAAAGATTATGCTTCTGTTAACTTTAATTTTCATTTATTCCAAATCTATTTTTGGACACATTTTACATGCATGAAAATAGTGAGGCCAGAAAATTATTTAAATGTAGATCTAGTTCTGAATCAAAATCACTTTTTGTGAAACTGTAAAATAAAATTTTCCTTTATCGTTTGTAATGTTTACTCATTTTGCTCTTTTATGAATTTGTATGTTTTTTTAGAATTCCATTCATTTTGTTTTTACATTTGCTTTGAAAACTGAGCCACTATAAGAAAATCTTCTCGGATTCATTATTTGTCATCTTTCAGTTGTAAAGAAGATTTCTATAAAACAACAGAAAAACCAAACCTTTCTGCCATTAGTAAACAGATACTAAATGCAACTTACACCATCAAGTACAGCCAACGGTCAAAATCACTTTCGGTCAGTGCTTTTTTTTTTTTCTTGTTGTTAACATATGGTAGGTTCGGAGACTATCAGTTATGGCTGAGTTGTTCCCACCATTAATCAATATAATTGGTTTGGGTATATATTGGTTTTGTGTAATGATTAAAAAAATGCACAGTGTGTTGACGGGTACAAAATAAATCTTTATATAACAAAATATAATAATACAAATGGATAAGGTGATAGTTGAAATTACAAGTGTAGAAGTCTTGGTGCATGCTAGAGGAAGAGCCCAAGAAGAAGTAAATATATATGTATATGTATGTATGTATTCAAATGTAGTAGCCCCTACTTGACAATGTGGTGAAGAAAGGTAAGTTTGTTTTCAATGTAGCAAGGATGGTTTAGCCATCTAATCATGCAAAGGTAGTATTTCATCTCGGGTTTGTTACAATGACTGCAGCATCAGAGAATAACAAAATTTATTTATCAATTCTGATTTTGGTTGATTTTCCATATGTTTATATACACATCTATAGATCCACTTTGAAAACTGTGCTCTGCATTTCATTGTCTTGCAGCCTTATATCCTAGTTATGGAAGCTTACTGATTGGCTGGTTGAACTATGGCTTTGTTTGCCTTGGGATTTTTATTACCTGTCTATTTTTAGACATGGTGAAAGTTTGGTCTTCTTGTCATTTATTTTTATTTATTTATTTCTCTATCACCACACTTAAACAGCTGAGTGGAAGTCCATAAAATAATAAACCATTCACTGTATAAATTGAAATAAAAAAGAATAAGAAATTTGTATAGGTGAACATTATTATCATTCCTTCATTTATAAAGTTGTATTTTTACAATAAAATGATATTTGATATCACACACCATATATATGACCCTATGTCACAAAATCATATTTTCATTTAAAGGTTATTAAATTTGGTTTTAGAGATATCAGCAGTTTTGTGCTTATATATGATAATTTGGAAAATTTTACTTTTTCATCTTGACTAATGGACCAGCATTATGAAAAAAAGTACTTTATTTCACAAGAAATCCAGCTTTAATGGTTATAAACTATTAAAATTTATTTATATAGAAACTCTAAGGCAGGCAATAAATATTTTCAGTATTATAAAGAAACCCAATATCATGCAGGAAACTGAGATTCAATTTCCAGCAGAAAAGACCCACTCAATTTAAACCGATATTTTTCATGTGTGAATATAAAAATATATCATGAACATGTTGAAAAGTTATTTATATATCTAAGTTGAAATCTTATTTTTAAAATCTGACAATGCAATTCATATACTGTCAATATTTCATTAACACAATATTCCATCTACCTGAATAAATTATTTTGTTATTTTATATGCTGATATGGAATCCTTGATATTCCATAACCTTCGTCAGTCTTTCATTCATTGACTTTGTTAAATTTTCTATTGCTTCAATTTTGATGTTAGATTATATTGTTTCCCAGAGATCTTCTTTGCTTGAATATTGTTTTACCTTCTGATATATATTTCTTAAAATGATGGGCCACAAATATTCTATTGGATTAATATCTGAAAAAGCTGGGAGCCATTCTATTAATTAAAATTTGACATAGTGTACAGTTGTACTCATTACCACATGTTAATATCATTATGATCATTCCAATTGAATTTGACAAACTAGTAGACATAGAAATGGTATTATACAATAAATATCATTACTTCATACATTATTATAGTGAATACTCATATTTGGAAAAGATGCCTAATATTTTAAACAGTTTGTATTATATCTATTGGCCTGGACATTTGAAGATTCTTAATAAAGAAAATGATGGGTATTGAACTTGCATCTGCTTTGTAGGAGAAACTATCATTTGATCCAGTGTACTTTACCACTCAACTATAGAGAACATCATAACAAGGTTCTATATTCCCTTTTAAGGAAAGCACACTTCCTTGTTCAAATATTTTTCTCAAAAAGCCCAGTTTCATATCCAAAATGTAAACAAAGCAAAGAATTAATTAGCAAGAGCCTGGCTGAACTGTGATGCTCTTTGTAACCAAGTGATAAAGCACACTAAATCAAATGGTGGTTTCTTCTACAAAGTGGGATACAGGTTCAATCTCTGTCACAGATCACATTTTCTTTATTAAGATTTCTCAAATGTGCAGACCAGTAGAGCATCTATCTCAAATATTTGTATCTACTATAATAACATTTGAAGTAATAAAAATGTTGGATTAAATATAAATCCATTAATTCTTTAATAAATATCATATATACTACATTTTAATAGTTTGAAATATATCTACTTTATCAATATTTACATGTACTCAAACAAATTTATACAAACAAAACTCACATTTACAGTTTCAAATCTGTATATATTAGATTAATGCAGAATTATGGGGGATAAGCTTTGTATGTGATTTATTACAAAAAATTTAGAAAAAGTAAACTTTATTTAGTAATACAGATTTATTTTGATGAATATTTATACATGTATATGAGGTCTGGTTAATAAATCCATAGATTTGCATGTAATTATTGAATTTTGATCTGAAATTTTCACAGTATAATGTTTAATTAATGATTAATATTCACTGTTTAATTAAGTGAATTGACAAAGAATGTTGAAAAGTATTTTTGTAAAATATTCATCATTAGGCTTCAGATTTCTTGATGTACCTACATATATAAATAAAAAGATGAAATGTATATATAAGTGCCAAAACTTAAGATATTCATTAATGTCTTCAGAGAGCTAACCTAATACATGTTATTTGTTTACACTTCAGAAGTTAAATTCAACAGACAGGACTTCTGTTTTTTCTGGCCATGATTCTAGCAATATGGATCATTTGTTAAATACAACCACCACCATGAACCCAATGCTTGTCCAAACAGCCGAGAATTTTACAGACTCAGTGAAGAGACCACCTCCAGTTGTTCAGCATAAAAAGACACCAAGAGTTCAATCTGCACGAACACCTCGGGATCCACCTTGTGAGTTTCATATTTAATGAGTTTATTTGTGAGTTGTGATCCTATTAATATTTGTTTTTTTTCTGAAGTCTTTAATCTTATGTTATCTTTTTTCAAGTTATACTACTTTTATCAGGTAATATGATGCAAAGCAATTTTGAACATATTCTATTAAATACTTTAGCTATTATATAAGAGTGAATGTATCTGCATGTTTTATACTGTTGTTCTTCAAATACAAGGCTCAAGAGTTACTCAAGGTAGAGGGTTACTGAATAAGGGCATAAAAAGAGGAAGCAAGAAATGTATATTATGAAGATATGTAGGATAGATAACAGTTGGCTCTAAATCTGAAGACTGTAAGATTGTAGTGATTAGTGAAGCTTCTTTTCAAAAGTTTGTTCCACAAAGTAACAATTCTTGAGAAGAAGCTGTCTGGTTATCTAGATTTTTGGACGTGTACACATAAATCATGATAACGTATGCATATATATTTACTAATGTGAGTGAATGATTTATTTCTTATGTTATTTTATGCTTGTATAATATTACATATATAAGGATATGTATTTTTGAATGGGAATAAAAGGTTTATGGTGTTTTTATACTTTTCAGTGTTGTAGAAAACAAAACTAAATGCACTAACCAAAATGTAATTAAATACTGTAAAAATCAAAAAACTTATCTAGGAAATAAGCAAAAACAGCAAGTCCAAATGATAGTAGTAAACAATATCTACCAATAATATTTGTCATATATGTATGTATGTATGTATGTATGTATGTGTGTATATATATATATATATATATATATATATATATATATATATATATATATATATATATAGAGAGAGAGAGAGAGAGCAAGACAGCAGTCCCTCTTTTATACAAGTTTCATTAGAGAAGACTGACAAGGTACTGCAATTAATCTTTTTATTTAATTTTTCTTTTGTTCCTATAAGTGTTTTCTTTTCTTGACATAAAGTGTGAAAAAATTGTCCAAATGCTCTATATATCTGAGAACTTTTGGCTATTCAATTAGCCATTATCAAGGTTTTTGTTTTTAATTTCTAACTGGATGTGTGGATTTTTTTTTATTATGTTTCTAGAGTGATGGTAATGCTTTTTTATTTCCAAAACATGGTCAGCACATTGTGGCCATGTTCATAGTTGATATTATTGAGTGTTGTAGAAAATACAAGTATAATAACCTCATCTGCATGTTAAAAAAAAACAAAAAAACTTAAAATAATGAAAGTACTAATAATAAAAAGAAAAACCAAAACAATGTGCTGACCCTGTATCTTGCAGTACAAAATCATATCAAACATCCTTTGTTGTTTTTCTATGATTGCTAGGTCAGTGTGTGTGTGTGTGTGTGTGTGTGTGTGTGTGTGTGTGTGTGTGTAATGTATTGAGATCTTAACAAACCTATGTTATGCAGTTTCTTTTGGCTTTATGCTCATTTTGATTTTTTTTGCACCATACATGAAATACAGACAGAATTTTAATAATTACAATTACAATAATAGAATTTGATTAATTTATTTCAATATGATTTTATTAGGAGTAGGGGAGATTGAAAGAAATGTGAAACTTTAAGAAATGCTGATATAAAGAAGTTGGATGTTCATTGTTTTCTTTTAAAATTCTGATGAATTAACCTTGATTTTTTTTTTTTTTTTTTTTTTTTTTTTCTTTTCAGCTACTGCTTTATTTCCTTCTCAGCCATGGGCAATTCCAGTTGGTGGTGATGAAAACACAGACTCAGATTCCTGACAATTTAACTCTTAAGAGAAATATTAGTTATGGCCTAAAAGATTTCAAACATTCCAATATTCACTATATAATATAAATGAGGTATCAGAGTTTATCTATTGATTTTTTTTTTAACTTTTTAGTTAAAAAATCAGTTTTAGAATTCAATAATTTCTTTAGAATTATTTTAAATACCATTGACATATAACAGGTTAGATTTGAATAGAGAAATGTAAAAAGATAACTGCTTATCAGTATAAAATTACCTCTTTCTAGTTTTACTAATACCAAATATATATAGTTGTTGTAACCTAGGAAAGGTTACTGAATAGAATAATCACATGAAGATTGGTAATGAACAGTAATACTTAAGACAAGAACAACACATATAAGATTCACCAGCAGCATGTAGTCAACTGCTAGAAGTAAGTCAAGTGAATTCCACAATGAATCTCCAACTGAAGACCGCAGACCCACACATACAGTATTCACTACTGTATTTATGGGAATTGGGGCATACCCATATATCATCTGTAGGTATGCTACAACAATAGTATTTGGTTATTTTATGTGTGCATAATGTGACTTTCGAACCAAACACTAAAATTACAAAATATACAATTTAAAAATAATATATTTTTATAAACATCCCATTTGATAAATGTGCAAAATTTCTTGAAAAATGATCCAGTAACTGACAAATTCTCAGTCAAAAAAAAATAAAGCTTTTATGAGATTTACATAAACAGAAAAACAACAGGATGCAATGATTTCAATAAGATGATGAATTCATTTGATCAAATTAAGAAGATAGATGTAAAATATAATCAAAAAATAAAAATGATTCATGTAAGAAAAATGATGTGGTCACTTTCACCATACAAAAGTTTACAAAGAAAAAAATCTCAATTTGGAATTCTCAAATTTTAGCTGTAACAAATTCACAAAATATATGATTTTAAGTGTTTTATCTTAGCATCAATTATAATTCAGATGGTAAACATTTTCTCTGTCTCTGAAGTTTATGATGGACTCTCATCATTTTCAAGATATGAGGGTTCAATAGCATGTTCCATCCATGATGCACTTATGTTTGTGCTTTTGATAAATTTTAAGGCCAGCTTGAGACTCACATGACAAGGAACAGCAATCTTTTTGATGGCTGCAGGAAAGTTAGAATAGTGTTTAGTGTACTGATATATATGCTATCATTATTGTAAATTTGAATTTTGCTACTTTTCTGTTATTTCATGTGATTATTTTTTTAATTGGAGAATTACATAGATTTAATGATCAATGAATAATATTATTTAAACAAGGAATTTTATGCTAATCTTTAAAAAAAGTTATTTTATTATTTTGTTAAGATGTTACTATAAATCAGTTTTCTGCTTTATATGAAAAAATTAATATGAAAAGTGTTCATAGTTTATACAGCCTCATGACATTTTTGCTCCAATCTGTTTAATACTTCATTGGTTTTCAGAAATATACTTCAATACACACTTGAAAAATAATAGATTTAATATGGGAAGAGTTGGAAATAAATTGTGCAAATATAGTAGCTTCATTTTAGGACTAAGTGAGTGCATATTTTTTAGAAATCAAAAAATAATCAGTACCATAAAATTCCCCTTTACAAAATGACTTAAAAATCATGCCTATTTACTTTGTTTATGTCTCCTTGGTAGTCATCTTGATCATAGTCTTGTCACAATAATAACTAAGAGAATGAGTGAGTATAAAAGTATTCCAGTCCTTCATTAATTACCTGACTAGATAGAGGCAACAAAATAGTAGTTATATCCATCATGGATACTGTCAAAGAAATTTATAAACAGAAGAAAAAAATTGTTAAAAGATACTGAAGATTTAAAGAATAAATTTAATGTGAGGAAACCTATTTTAGGCAAACTTGAAAGAAAATTGTTTATATGCACAATATTATACATCTTTTATACTCTGTGTGTGTGTGCGTGTATATGTGTGTGTGTATATATATATATATATATATATATATATATATATATATATATATATATATGTGTGTGTGTGTGTATACACACACACAGTTTTAAAATATACAAAAGTATTTCTTATTTATTTTCCTTAAGGAATCTTTTCAGTCAATCCTTTCATCATGCCACAGGAATTACTATTTCAAAACCAAAAATTAAATCTTAAATTAAACTTAAAATATGAAGTTCAGTTCCATTTTCAAGCAATGCTGAGAATAACCTTGAAAAAATTGATTTACTCTATTTATAAGCCAAATTGTATTATATATTTTAAGTTGGTGGGGTAATGAGAATTCAGAATTTTTTATTAAGGGGATGTTGCCTTTTTTGATGAATAATGATACAAGTATAATTTTTATGTGGCAAATTGAAAATCAGTTAAGGTTAGGCAGGGGTTAGAGATTTCTGTCTGTTGATACTGACTTCCTTTTATGCAGACGTGTCATCATAGTCTTTTTATTTATTTTATTTTGTGTTACAATAGCACTATTAACCTTTATTTTATAAAATCTTAAAAATATAGAAAAAAATAAATTTTGAGATTTCTCTGAAGAACATTCTAAATACAAACAGAAGGAATTATTTCATCAAATTAATACAAATAACAGAGTAGCTAATAAGAAGGATGAGATGGAGAGCACACTTCTTTCTTCGGAGGAATAACTCATCAAATGAACCTGATGTTTATGGCTTCAGTAACAAAAAACAGCACCATTTATCAAAAGGTTGTTTGAGTTTGAAAAGAATTTACTTGATATAGTAAACAATATCTCTTTCCACAAAAAGAAAAATTACTTCTAAAAACATCTGGACCAAATAATAAAAGATATAAATGAAACAGATAAAGTATTAGTGAAGTCTGATAAAACTGGAAATTTTTACAAATTAGATGCAAAAGACTATAACACTCTAGTTAAAAAAAATTGAACAAAGAACTATAAAAAGCTAATAATAATAATGTTAATATGGTAGAAATTATAAATGTAACTAGTAAGAAAATCATGGATAAATTAAAAATTAGTGATAGAGTAAGTAAACTTACCAAAAAAGATTGTTATATTACCATCAAGGACCAAAAATCTGATTTTGAGGCTAATCCTACTACCAGAATTATAAATCCAACTCAGCCTGAGATCGGTAAAATTAGTAAAAAAAGAATCCTGGAAAGAGTAAACAAACAAAGGATTACCTGGGATTAACACAATGGATTAATACCAAAGCAGTCACCAATTGGTTTACAAATATTAAGGATAAATCAAATTGTACCCTAATACAGTTCACTCTCAAAGAATACTACCCATCAATATCAAAGGAACTTTTCATTACTGTCCTGGAATTTGTTACTCTATACTATGACCTATCAGAGGAAGAAAGAAACATAATTATGAATGCAAAAAATATATCCTCATTCGTAATGGCAACCAATGGATAAAAAATTCTGAAGACCATTTTTATATCACAATGGGATCATTGGACTCTGCTGAGTCTTCCAATCTTGTTGGTTTATTTATATTATAAAATCTAAGTGCACACCATGAAATTAATATTAAAGATATTGGACTGTATAGGGATTATGGTCTTATGGTTGTGAGGAAGTCTACAAACTTTAAAATTGATAAGATTAGAAAGCTAATACATAGAGAATTTAAATGCCTAAATTTGAAAGTTATTGTTAATACAAAATTAAAAAAGGTAAACTTCCTTGATATAACATTAGACTTAATGAATAATATATACCAACCTTATAAAAAACCTAATACTAATCCTATATATCTACACCCCAAGTCAAATCATCCTCCATCTATAATAAAGCATATACCTTCATCTATTGAAAAAAAGAATAAGTAAATTCTGCTAAGGAAAAAATATTCTATGAACACAGTCATTTTTATAATAAAGCTTTAAAGAATAGTGGCTATTAATACCCTAACATCAATTATATAAAAATGATAACAGAAACCAGAGAAGAAATAGAAATAGAAAAATCATTTGGCACATCCCCCCCGCATTCAACCAAATGGTTAGTAGTAAGAACATAAATTTCTTGTTTTAATTAAAAAACATTTTCCTAGAAATAATAAACTTTTTAAATTTTTAATAAAAATACTCTAAATTTAAGTTACAGTTGTACTGAAAATTTAGAAAAGATTATAAAAATACATAGCAACAAAATCTTGAATAAATACTTAAGCCAGAATCAAAGAAATAGTGATCCAGAAATAAGAATAAACAATAGTAAAGATAAATTATATAACTGAAGAAATTCTGAAAATTGTCCTATGAATAATAAATGACACACAGAATCCGTAGTTTACCAATGCACTCTCTCATCTATTCAGAATCCTAATGTTGAGAAATTCTATATAGGATGTATTAAGAATGAATTTAAATTAAGATGGAGACAGCATCTGACTTCCTTCAATAATATTGAGTATCGCAACCAAATATCCCTATCCAAATATTTTTGGCATTTAAAAGAAAAATAAAACACCAACAGTAAAATGGAAACTATTGAAAAAACGAGGACATGTAGATCTTTAAATGACCCATGTCCTTTGCACCTACATGAAAAGTTATATATTAAGTTTCTGAAAAATGAAAATTTGTTAACTCAAAGAAATGAAATAGTAGTTTTTGTAAACATTATTTCATATTTTCCTTACAAAAATAATTAATTATAAAAGTAATTTGCATAAATATATATCTATTATTTGGTTATAAATAAATTATTTTGTAAATGCATAAATAAATTCTAATATTTTAATTTTACAATACCATATATAGTTTATTAATAAATAAAATAAATATAGTATTCTAGATCTTTATAAATAAAAATATAAATATAAATAATATGATTTAATCATATTTGAAAACTCCTCTAAGAAAATATTGATGTAGTTTTAGAATACAAGAAAATAAATAAATATAAATGGCAAATGTATTGTATTGTAACCCAAAATAAAATTTTAAAAAACAAGACTGATGACACGTCCATAAAAGGAA